CAGGACGTGGCGGACTCCAAGGAGCAGATGATCCTGCGGGCGGTATGCGACGAGCGCATCTCGGTCCCGGTGGAGAGCCTCCAGCAGTTCCCAGAGGTGTACAAGGCCCTCATGGACCGCATTGGAGGCCCGGGGGCCCTGGCGGAGGTGAAGGTCAACTGGCGCTGCAACACGAAGCAGTGGTGGGTCGGCGCAGTCCCCGACTCAGTGGCCCCCTCCATCTACCGCAAGCTCGGCTACACCAACGACATGATCAAGCTGATGGGCCTGGACCCCTCCGCCCCTGGGTGCCGGACAGGTGCCGATGGCCCTGACATCCGCCCCAGGGGAGGCGAGGGCGATGAGGGGATCGTTTACCCCCCCATCACGGCGGACAACGTCCACGGCGTGGTGGGTAAGGACTACCGGAAGAAGAACTATCCGGTGGAGATGAAGCATGTCTTCTGGGCGCACATGGAGTGTGGCCTGGTCCTGAGCTCCGTCACCCCGTGGGAACTCATCCCGAAGACAAAAGGGGAGACCCGGGGGGGCTACATGTGCAAGTATTGTAAGGGGTACTGGCGTGCCGGGGGAGGGGGCACCCGCCTCCTCCAGATCCGGGCCGGCAAGGCCATCTTGCAGCTGGTGTTGGACGAGCCGCCGGAGGGCCTCTACAACCGCTGGGTGAAGGAGCGGCTGGAGTACTACCGCCGGGTGGAGCCCTCGGCCCCGTTGCGGGACGTCTCCATCGTGGACCAGAAGGTGCCCAGGTTCAGATTCAGCCAGACCACCCAGACAGGCCACGTCTCCAATGCCATCTGGGAGCTGATTCTGCGGAATCCGGAGGCTGCTGCGCTCAAGCGCATCGATGACATCGCGAAGGGGGCCGCGTGATGATGCGGGACAACGCCATCTTCCGGCACACCATCCAGGACCGCGGCCATCCGGAACGGATGCGCAGCGCACCCCGGGGGGGGGACAGCTGCCGAAGGCGCTGATATCCCCCCCCAGGGAACAGCGCAGGCCCAGACTTGCACCAGGCGAGGAAAATTGGCGCGGCTTGGGCTGATCCGGGGTGCGCCTTGGTTCCCCTCTCTTGTTTGGTTTTCCCTTTTCGGGGCGGCTCCCTGGGTCCCCCTTTTTCCCCCGTTTCCTCCGTTTCGGGGTTGACTTTCCGGGGTTTTGGGGGGCCCCCTGTTGTTTGGTTGGGGTTTGCACCTAGGGACTAGGCCCCCGGCTCGAGTGGATCATGATGATGTGGAGGCCCCGCCTCCCTTCCCCGTTTGGGACGACCTTCCTAGGGGCGCCAACCGCGCTCCAGTTGATTTTGCATGACCTTGGATTTGCACCAGTGCAGTCGGACGGGGAAATCCTCGTGGCGTGCTGCCTGGAATGGGTCAAAAAGGACAAGGTCGCCAACCCGGATGCGGTGGTCTTTGACCCGCGGCCGTGGACACGGATCGTGGGGCTGGCACCTGACGGCAACCACGTCCTGGTGGCCTCGGACACCTACAACTTGATCCTCGCGAGGATACTCGGCTCCCAACCACAACCGCTGGAGGAGGCGGATTTGGAGCTCGCTACTAAGACCCTGCAACAACTTCTGTTTCGTGCGGCAGGCGCCAGGCAATCGCACACCTATTCTCCACTGGAAATGGAACAGGCCATCCGGGACCGCGAAGAGTGGATCCTTTCCGGATCGATTGAGGCCCCGGATGTCCTGGCAGTGGCCAACAAGTGGCGGCATTGGAAACCAAGACCCAATTGCCGACATCTCAGAGAGCGTTGGAACAACACTTGAGGGCCAGGTGGTTGGAACGCCTCCTGGGATACTTCATCCCCTTCCGGCACCAGATCCCCCATGCACCAGGTGATGGGGGCCAGGGAGCTGGAGGAGTTTGGCCACCTCTTTGGTGATGCCCGGTTCCGTACCATCCGGGCACACTGCTTGGCCTATGAGGGCATGCGCAAGATCGGCTTCCAGAACCTCCCCTGGACGGCTGGCGACGTCCGGCACCTCATGAACCAGGCGGTCACGTTGGAGGTCACCCCGGCGAAGCTCCAGAAGTGGTGGGGCACTTTAAAGTGGCTCTCCATTAAACTCGGCATGCTCAACGTTGACGAACACAAACAACTCCTGGAGAAGCGGAAAGCCAGGGGGCGGTTCTCCAGGCCCCCGTACCCCAAGCCAGCGCGCTTGCCAACCTGCTGTCCCGGGGTGCTGAGCCGGGCCTCATGCTCGTACTTCATCTTGGCGATGTAGAAGGCCTCCACAACGCGCTCCAGGCCCCCCTGCTTGAGTTGGGGGCCCTCAAAGCCTCGCAGGAGCCGCTGGACGTCCTTGGCCTGCAGTCGGCGGAGCCTAGTGGCCGTGGTCGCATCGAAGCAAGGGAAGTCGCCCGCCATCTGGTCGTCGCTGAACTGGTAGAGGCCCTCCGAGACCTTGAGGGCCTTGGTGAACACGCTCCCCCCCGGCGGGGGGGCTGCGGGGTTCTCATCCTCCTCCGAGGACGCCTGCTCCTTGACCTTCGCCATCAGCTCCCGGCGCCTCTGCCACTTGGCGTCTGCCCGGGCATCCAGGCGGGCCTCCTCCAAGCTGGCTGCAGCCGAGGGGAAACTGGGCGTCGGCAGCTCCTTCTCAGGAGCTCCTCCATGGGCACGTCCTCCTCCGGCGGGTTCAGGAGCTCCAGGAACGCCCCTGAGGGGCGTGTCAGGGCCTTCGGCACCTGCGCCACCCCAGAGGGAAGGAAGGAGGAGAAGGAAAGGAAGGGGCCTGCTCCAGCTCATCTGCGCTGGAGAAGAAACGCTCGTCAGGTGCCTGAGGGACCTCAGCAGCCAAAATGGTCCATCCTTCTTCCTCCCTCTTCACGAGGTTCGCCAGGTACTTTGCCATGGAGGCCTTTGCCTTAGCCTTGGCCTCTGCTGCCGCGGCACCAGCGTAGGCGGGGGCGTACATGGCTTTGAGAGTAGGGGAAAGAAAGATTTCAAATCACAAGACAAAGGATAAAAGGTCCACTTGAGCCAAAATGGTGGCCCAAGTGGATACTTATTAAGAGTCAAGACAAGCGACCTACGGTTAACGCTTTAGCCCAGTTGAAATTACGCACACAATATCAACACCAATCTGGCTCAAAATGCGGTGGTGATGTCCTACTGTGCAGTGGCAGTACAAGAGGTGCAAACGTGAACAGCGTGAATGAGCGTGAAATTTACCAACACCATGTTTACTCTATAAAGACGTATGAGACGTTGTTTACTCATGTCTTTGGATGCCCTGGGTATATATATATATATATGTGTAAGTCTGTACGTGTGTGTTGTTTGAAGGTACCTTTGTTGCCTGAGAATGAAGGGAACCCAAAGGAAACTAATCATTTGTTGGAGGTCCCCTTGCTGACACATACTCATTTGAGCTTCCTGCATCAACGCAACTTCCAGTGGTGCTTCAATCCAATTGGCTGGCTGTGTCGGTTATGGAAAGTTCTCAAGGTTGATATGCTCGCATATGCCCCAGGTAGGGGGGCAACGAAAGATTTCTCTGTGGTCACATCTCCACTTGCAGCATCTTAAGGCCCCTGCATACGTGACAAGTCCATGTATGCGTGCACATGTATGGATATATATATATATATATATATATGTTCCAGGCCGTGGACCCCCCCCCCCCCCCCTGTGGGGTGGGGTGGGTGGGTGGTTGGGTGGTTGGCACCCCCCCCCCCCTGTGGGGGGTGGGGTGGGTGGTGGGGTGGTGGGGTGGTGGGGTGGTTGGGTGGTTGGGTGGTTGGGTGGTTGGGTGGTTGGGGTGTGGTTCGGAGTTGGTTTAGGCTTTGGTGGGTTGGTTCAGGGTTGGTTCAGGGTTGGTTTGCGGTGGGTTTCGGGTGGGTTTGGGTTTTGGGTTGATTTAGGCTTAGGGTTGGGGTTAAGGAGGGGTTGCAGGGTGGTTTGGTTTAGGGTAGGATGTTGAGAGAGGTGCGGGGGTGTTGGTTCACGGGGTGAAAGGGGGTCTGGGACCGAAGCTGCAGGGCTCGCACGGTACTGGACAGCATCCCCAGCATTGCCAGCATCATCCCCAAGATGCGGATGATGCGGGGGAGTGGGGGGACCATACCATTGAAAGGGGGGGGGGGGGGGTACGTGGCCCAGGGGCTGGTACATATATATATGCTTATCTTTACGTGTATGCATGCCCCTGCATTTTATGAGACTCGGCAAATAATTCAAAGCTCAATTCGGGCTCCCTTGATGAGGCCATTCTGCTCCCCAAGACCGTGGCTTGAAACATGAGTATTTAATGGGCTTGGAGATGTTTCGAAGACTCCCAAAAAGGGCAAAAATAAACAATTCACACACCACTCTGTATTCACCCAAACACACACCCTAAATGAGTATACAGTTAAGTGGAGGAGTCTTTACCTATGTCCGACCGCTTGAGACTGCTTGAGGGTGCTTCCCGTTTGAACTCATAGCCCAGCAGAAGCCAAGAACAAACCCGTTCAAGGCTTGGGACTTTCTTCCAAGCCGTATCCAGGCATAGGCGCAGCCCCCGAAACGAAATGCCTGGGACCCCTCGCTACAAGGGTTTCCACTATCCCACCCCTCCATGAACGTGGAGGGTTTCCCTCACAGGCAATTGGAAACTAGAGAGAGAGCAGGTCCCTCTCAACGGATAGTATAGACTCAGGATGTTTGGTCAAAACCTCATTTCCCGGTCAAATCGGGTGACTTCGGTTGGTGCATGCGCTGATTTTGGAGGCCAACTCAGCCCATATTCCCCGAGCGCCAGCAAATGCACCACAGACTTGTAGACTTTCCACACACCCCTCCCATCCACGAGTTTCTACCTGGAGTCTCCATGACCCGAAATTAAAAAAAATGCGTCAAGCACCCCATTATTTTGGGTAATGACCAACCATCTTTAAAGGGTCCTGGAGACTCCAGGTAAAGGTTTCGCCAACGCACCGTCCTCCCCCCCCCCAACCAACGCGCCCTTCGCTTCGACGCGAGTCCGCGCGCCGAGGCGCCGCCGTGGAGGCGGCGGTGGCGACCTGGTCGCAGGCCCTGACCGCGGCGATGAACTCCGAGAAGCTGGGGCCCTTGGCCTGCGATCTACAGATCTGAGCCCGGCGAGATCGATCTCCCTGCGGACCTGGGGAAGCCTTTCCAATCGGGGAACACCAAAGCCAAGTTGGTGTCAAAAAAAAAGTCGGGAAAAGGGAACCCCCCTGAAACACTCCCCCCCCTAGCCTTAAACCAAGGTCCACAATCTAAGGCTCAACCCCCCCTTCTACAAGGCCCTACCAACCTTTGGACTTACGTGGAAGACATGCCATAGGGTCGAAACCACCTCCCCCGGGCAATCTCCCCGTGACCTTAAGGGAGATTGCTGAGGCGGGAGTCCCAAGGTGGCCGAACCTTGGTTGGGACTCCCGGAAAACCTTCGCTTAGCAGGGTAACTCATTTGAAAACTAGAGGTACTCGCCTGCAATGTAACATGGAACCTAAAACTGGCGTTCCCAAAAGAGGGTTTCCTCTACAAATGCTGGCGAGCTTGGGCACCATGTAACACATTGATTACCTACAAAGGCAGCCGCCAGGAGGAGCTTTTTGCGATGCCTGCTCCCCGAAATCAGTTGGTTTTCGAACCCCCCTCACTGCGCTTTGCTCCAGGTCCAAGTGCCGCTGATCTCGCCCACACCCTTAGAAGTTGGAAATAACTGCAACATGTTGGGGGAACCCCCCCCCCATTCTCTATGGCGAGTTTGAACAAGGCCCCGCTTTCACGAACAATTCAAATTGGTGGTGGGGCCTACCCAAAACCGAACAAATAAAAAGGGCGGATGTCAGCACCTTTATGACAAGGAGATAGTCTCTACCCAGGTTTGACTTGGCCCAGATTCGGCCAAAAAATATATCAGATGGCCCATGTCCTAAATAATGGAGAAGACCCCAGTAATCTGGATGTGAATGTTAATAGGGGACCCTTTAGTGGACCTCATGTTGGGTGGGGATTCATGCCGACTTCGGTCCCAACCCTGGGGAACTTCCGCAAATCCCGAACCAGCAGTTTCCCAAAACGTTTCCCCAAAACATTTTCCCTTTGAGGCCCTACTTAGTAGTTACTTGGGTGTGTTTTTTTGGGGATGCCCAGTACACCCACACTATCTAAATTCCGAAGACATCTACTCAGATTTTGAGCTCAGAACTCGCTCGGCTCGGCCACGAGTGGCTCCTCCACAGCCACTACGGAGGCGTCGGCTTCTTCCGCCTGAAAGGGACTTGGATGAGCGAGTATTCCGCATATACATGTACATACACAACCATATGCATAATGTGTATGGGATACTATACGAATATATATATATATATAGTAAAAAAGATGGGTCGCTCTCAAAAGAAAGGACCCCTTTTCAGTTTGAGGGGGGAAAAAAACAAACACCTGGATGGGATCTCTTCAAACATCTCAGCTGTCTACAAGATTTTGTAGCAAAAAACCGCATGGCATGGGCGCTCGCATGAACTTTGCCCCAGACTTCCGCGTCCCAAAGCCCGGCGGACCCTGTGCCTTCGCCGCGGCCTCTTGAAGGGCTTGAATCCTTTCCTGCGCTTCCTTCTCGGCCACCTGCCCGGATTTTGGCGCACGAAACGAACCTTTTGGCGCTTGCCCGGCAGGGGGGAAGAAGAGGCAAACATTCTCCCGTTTTGAGCACGAAGCAAAAGGCACCGTAGGTGTAGGTGTGTGTGTGTGTGTGTGCGCGTGCGTGCGTGCGTGCGTGCGTGCGTGCGTGTGGTGCGTGTGGTGCGTGTGGTGCGTGTGGTGCGTGCGGTGCGTGCGGTGCGTGCGGTGCGTGCGGTGCGTGCGGTGCGTGCGGTGCGTGCGGTGCGTGCGGTGCGTGCGGTGCGTGCGGTGCGTGCGGTGCGTGCGGTGCGTGCGGTGCGTGCGGTGCGTGCGGTGCGTGCGGTGCGTGCGGTGCGTGGGTGCGTGGGTGCGTGGGTGCGTGGGTGCGTGGGTGCGTGGGTGCGTGGGTGCGTGGGTGCGTGGGTGCGTGGGTGCGTGGGTGCGTGCGGGCGGGCGGTGCGTGCGTGCGTGCGGTGCGTGCGGTGCGTGCGGTGCGTGCGGTGCGTGCGGTGCGTGCGGTGCGTGCGGTGCGTGCGGTGCGTGCGGTGCGTGCGGTGCGTGCGTGCGGTGCGTGCGTGCGGTGCGTGCGTGCGGTGCGTCCGTGCGGTGCGTCCGTGCGGTGCGTCCGTGCGGTGCGTCCGTGCGGTGCGTCCGTGCGGTGCGTCCGTGCGGTGCGTCCGTGCGGTGCGTCCGTGCGGTGCGTCCGTGCGGTGCGTCCGTGCGGTGCGTCCGTGCGGTGCGTCCGTCCGTCCGTCCGTCCGTCCGTCCGTCCGTCCGTCCGTCCGTCCGTCCGTCCGTCCGTCCGTCCGTCCGTCCGTCCGTCCGTCCG